AGCCTTGCCCTTTGGATCAGAGCCTCTGCCCCACCAGCCAGGCCAGCCCTGACTCGGGGACGGGAAATACAAACACTGTAAAGCGAAAGGCGCCTCCTGTTTGCTTTACATTAACACCAGCTCACCCCATAGCTCACATTGAGCGACCCGCGCTCCCTTCGCCAGGCTCTCAACATTTCCTGGGATGGGCGTGACGCGCCCCATTTGGCTCCGCGCTCCTACAAGGCTGCGCTCTGCAAGCGGGTCTTTTGCCCTAACGGGCCTAACCCGGGATGTTCAGGGATGCCTTGAAGGGGCGAGGGATCTGCTGTTGAGAAGAGCCAGGCCAGACGGGAGTAACGAACACGTCTGTTATCTTACACTTCAGGCTGTCAGCCGCGAGAGATTTACCGGAAAATCCCCTTTCCTGGGGCTGAACCTACAGGAAAGAAAAGCTGGATTTCCACCCCGAGAGACTCAGACACAATCACCCGAGATAGCCCCGCGCACAGGCTTAAGCAGGGCTGGCGCTGCAGCGCCAGGACTGTGCAATGCTGGGAAAGCCACTCGGCACCGGTAACCTTGCACCCCGCTTTGTGAGTCCGTGTGTGTTGGGTCTTTGTGCATGTGGGGGGAGGGCGCTATTTATCTTTCTGTGTTTGACTCTATGGGGTGGGGGCGTCTCTTCTCCCCCACCCCTCCTAAAAACCCCTCTCGCACTCTCTGCAGATAGGGGAAGGTGGCTGGAAGCTGGATTCACTCTGACGTCTCTTTCCTATTTGGGAGCGCTGTTGAAAGGGGCTAAGCAAGGCGACTGGATGGGCCAGTCGGGACAATAATTGGCCGCAGCTGGCTTAGGGGTGTTAAGTGTTCCCTGCGTGTTGCGGGGGGAGGCATAATTGGAAGGGGAAGTTCGAGGCACAAAAGTGCCATATTTTATGGCTGGTTTACAGGGCTGTCAAACTCCGCAGTAAACATATTACTACTGAAAACCCAGCGTGAGCCTCCTGAGCTGTCGGGGCAGCTAGCCGAAGCGCTGGGCCGAGCGCGGCTTGGCTTCTGAGATTTTTAGCCATCACGCGTGTGTGTTTTCCACACTTCTGAGATGGCCCAAAGTTACTTACCTGAGAGGGAGTGTAAAGGGCTGCGGGAAAGGGTGGCCGGGCAGCCCCGGGCAGTCATTTCAGCTGGTCTCCAGAACTCCCTCCGCTAAAGGCCCGTGATGATGAAGCAGAAAGTTATTTTTAAAACTACGCCCAGCAGCAGGCAGAAGTCTTTCTTGTATTTCGCTAAATTAAGATCCGCTGAAATAGCACTGGCAATTGATGCAGCAGCATTGCTTTAGCCTTGTGGGCCCCGGGATATTAGAGAGCCAAGGTGGGTGTCAAAGCGCGTCTCTCTTGCCAACAGAAGCTGGTCCAGGAAAAGATATCACCTCACTGTCTCTCTAACTATCTGTCTAACGCAGACACAGAGGAGAGTCCATTTTGCTAATGAAGTGACTCAGTGATTGATGGATACATTGCATACAAGCAGAAAGTGAAAGGCGTTTCAGGACAAACTGCGGACTCTCAATTGCGTTTCTACAGTGGATGAATAAACTCGATGAAAATGAGCTAAGAAAAGTTTTTTTCTTAGCTCAAGCCATACAGTTGTGCTGTTATTAATTTAGCAACAGTTAAATGGTCTGGGCCCTTTAAAAACTCACTTTTGTCATTAAAATGGGTGCTTATGTCAAAGACTAGAATAGGTTGAGGAAAGTATGTTGAGTTTTTCTTCTCTAGCTGGCAGAAACCGATGGATACGTGTGAGAGGCCAGATCCTACGTTAATTTGGTCACTGACCTCAGTAGATGCAGGATCACGTCCTATCGGGGATTTGAGAATAGACATAACAAAAAATAGCCAGCTGGTTTAGAAAACGCTCGCTGTTCCCCGTTGTATATGCCCCCCGATGACCCTTAGTATGAGATTACAGCTCTTTTCCTGGACCATAGGTCTGCCTAGCTGGGACTAGATAAAGTCTGTTAGGTTTTTATAGTAGCCTTTACAAGGTAAGTCTTATCAAATATTAGTGTTCACTCACTGCAGCAATTTCGCTCCAAGCTTTCCAAAATGAATGAAACACAAAAAGGCAGCGAATGCATGTGGCTTCCCAATTCTTTTCTAGCGCCTTTGCAATCTGATCAGAGCAACCAAGTCAAAGGAAATTCTACTAGTGTCTGAGGAGACAGGAGGCAGCCAAAATAATAATAATGGAGAGAATCTGAGCCACACGGAAAACATGTTTCTGATTTAAATTTAATCTATTTTGTAATTAGATGGCATGTAATTTCTCAATACATCATTAACATGAGGGATTTTTGCACATTAGAACATTCTCCCAGCTCAGAGGCTGGGCGTGCATTTTTTTGAAGCGCCTATTCATGTGTTTGTTTTAGTTCAGCTTCTACACAACGTGACTGCTCACAAAGGAAAATGTGACATGAAGAAGATTGATTTCATTTACCTATTATAGGGGCCTTCAGTAAAACGGGGAATTAACTGACAACGTTTCCTGTAGTTTTTGGTGGAGAAAACAATCATTGATCGTGAGCAGATTTTTCAATAAGATGTTCCATAATGCATATCCAAGTTTAAAGGAACCCTAGTGTCTACACATGTGTAAACATTGGATTTTGTTGTTGTTGCTCGTTGCATAGATAATGCAGGACAGAAGTTTGGCTTCTATTTTTGTGAAGATGACTAATTATTTCCAAATTATTCTCTGCATCCGATGAAAGTATCTCTTTGAATAACATGTGAAAGGAATACACTGGATCATGAAAACCCGCCGAGGAAGCCAGAGAAACTACAACTCTAAAATGTTTAATATAAACCATCATTTTTGCCAACTAATAGAAACATCGTATTGCTTTCTAGGAGTAGCAGAAAAAAAACTTGAAAACGAATGTTTAAAAATTGAGTTTATTTCCTGCTGTCAAACCATTATCGATATCCTCTTCAGCACTACAGTAATAGTTTGAATTTCTTCCTATGAGGATGGATTTTCAGTGACTCCCTATGATGTAACCTCAAACAGAGGCTATAGTGTAGTGTGCGAGATGTTGCTTTAATTATGTGTTATAGTTATACTTGGCAGCACGGATTCAACAATTAGCAAACGCTTTAGTTATTTGGTATCCGACTTTTTTATTCTAGAACTACAGAAATGTTTTATCCCAAGAAAGAAAGATAGATACTGGCTTCCCAATCCCTGCATGTACTCACGAGGCGATATTGAACTAGCGTCTGGCTTCCAGTGTATGGAAATTGACTGTTTTGTTCATTTAGAGTTTTAGTTCTTATGGAAGAATTAGTACCTTTTGCTCCTGAACAAGTTAAAAACTACCTGTTTGATTCCTTTTACAAGCTAGCTACAGGGCTTGTAAAGTTCTAATGTATTTTTCATCAATGCTTTACCCGGTGTGAAACGTAACAGGAATTTCAATTCAACTTTTGAAATGACCCCTTTGAAATGAATGTGGGATGTTTGAAAGTCCTAAGATGCAACATATCTGACAAGAAATGTCAGCGTAGAGTATAAGAAAGAATAATACTGCGCCCTGTTACAGTTAGTCCTTCTAATCTTCCATTTGCCAGGATTCTGTGTATTTAACGTCCAGCGATAAAACACACACTAAAACTAAATACCTGCCACACTGACAACTGAGGAGAGTAATCACATTAATATTCGTGGAAAGCGGAGTTGTTTATATTGCTTAGGGTTGACATTTTATTGTACGCGTTTTGGGAGACTCTGTATCTCCGTAGACTTCCTTCTTCTAGCAGCAGCACACTTTGGTTTTGCTTTGGTGTAAGAATAACCAGAAAAGGCCGCTAGGCCAGGCACAACCATACCTCTCCGATCATGACATTACTTCTGCACCAATTAGCACAATGAAAATGGCTAATATTCATCTTTCCCCACTGCTATGGTACACAAGGCAGGCAGGGGTAAATCTGATCGAATGAGTCACTTCACAGAGGCTGTCAGGATCTTCAGTGGTGCATGTATTGAGAGTGCTTGTGTATAAAGGTTTCCTATTTGTCCCGTATCGTAACTGGTTAGAAGACAGCAGAAACGATAGAGCTGTGCAGATGATAGAGCAGAAGGGATTTTGTGTATAAAAATGTAAATGATGGTGAACGAAGACCTACCAATCTTTACAAAACTGTATCAAAAGTATTTGAGTCGATAAACATTAGTCTCAAAGCCTGTTGTAGTTATACTATACTTGTCCAAATAATGTTACATTTACGTTTAAAGGGGGGCTTGTTATCACAAGATGACATTTTCGACCCCCTACTGGGACTGTCAGCAGCGGTAGTACAAATGCTATTTATTCTCTGTCCTATGCCAATCTTTACAAAACTGTATCAAAAGTATTTGAGTCGATAAACATTAGTCTCAAAGCCTGTTGTAGTTATACTATACTTGTCCAAATAATGTTACATTTACGTTTAAAGGGGGGCTTGTTATCACAAGATGACATTTTCGACCCCCTACTGGGACTGTCAGCAGCGGTAGTACAAATGCTATTTATTCTCTGTCCTATGA